AGAAAGAGTTGGAGGAAAATAAAATACAAAGAAGTGAAAAGAAAGTGGAAGAACAAATTAAAGAAGAGGATAAAGTCCAGAAGCAAAACGAGCAGGAGAAAATTAGAGAAGATAAAATACAGGATGGATACAAAACGACCAGCAAATTACAATCAAAAGGAAACGATAAAGTAGAAAAACAAACTAAAAAGAAGAAAGATAAGAAGAGAAAAACGTCGAAGAGACTTCTTGGAGTGAGAGAATCCATGCAATTTATACTAAAGCTTAGAATTGAAGTAGTTTAAAGTAGAATTAGTTTTATCCTTTGTTGAGAATTCATGCTGAGCATTGTGCTATAGACTTTTTGCATCTGGGAAACAAAACAAAGTATTTTTTGCAATGTTGGGAATTAAAATGCATGTGTTTTCCTGTTTGAGAAAACAGGGTCAATCTCATGAACGACAGCGAGTTTAATGAAAAGATTGCAGTGGGGTTTTCCGTTAATTTTACTAATGTCTATAACGTTGTCATATTCATGTACATGTATGGTAATGGCTATATAGCAATGATAGAGATATTATAGTCTATAATACAGCCTCCCAAATACTATGCGCAATATAATTTGATTCACCCACCTTAATAAATATTATTTTTCATCAAAACAGTTATAAAGGCCCCAATAGAGTGGTTTTCATTAACCCGTGAAACATACTTTAGCGTATTTATCGCTATTACACTTTGTCTCTTTTGTTTTTATTGTCTCTACGCGACTATTACGATCTATTACACTCTAATTATTGCACTTTGTTTCACGGGTTTATGAAAACCACTCTATTACCTATGGTAAGAAAGTATTTAGAATATTTTATTTTATTATTTTTTAAATAATATATATGTGACTATAATGTATGTAATACCTCCCATCGTGCTCTCTGGTTTTGAAAATATTCCATTATTAGTTAGCCTGGGATACCGGTGGTCTGCTGTTTCACGACGTTAAGCTTCCACTGAATCAGCAGACCAGCAGCACCGCAGGCTTGTTGTCTTGCTTTGATGTAAAGAAATGTCGTCACTTTACAAGATGGCACTGCAAGGGATGTGTGTAAAGTTATTGACATTGCTTCAGTGTCAGTTTCTTTAACCTGTGATCTGCTGTGATCAGCGTTTGCATGCGACTCACGATGTTTTTCGATTTGATATCGATCCCTATCATAGCTTAACGTTTTGTTTTATATTTAGTTATATTTCTAGTTCTTTTTAAGTTCTTTTAAAAAAGTACAACAATACACAGAATTATGGATTATTTTGACTCATATTCCATGTACATATAAAATATATCAGAAATTATCGGATATCATCTTCAATATTTTTTTTGAAGTCTGCCTAGCACTGGTACTTTCTTAAAAAAATATTGGCAATAATATCCCCTAATTTCTGATATATTTTATATATGCTTGAAATATGAGCAAAAAAATAACATTTCTGCATATTGCAACGCGATTTGAATATCTAATAACAGCAAGCTATCGTGTTAGATCTGCTTGCATTTATTCCACCTGAAGCCATGTGAAGTAGATATGTAGGGAAATAGATCCAGTAACCTGTATTAGGTTAATATTGTACATGTAATAAAACATTTATGTCTTTTTACAAATGTCTCTTTACTTCGATGAAGGATTAACGTCCAACACGTCAGCGAGTTGTTTCACCTACTTTTTTACGGTGTTGGATGTATCTACACAACTATTTTTTTAGACGACGCAGCTTACACTAGTTTACCGCTAGTTTCCACCGCTTTTATGTAACGCTTGGCTAGTGAAACCCAACCTCGTTCCCAGGGCCTTATCTCTTCGCTTATCCTTTCCTATATATATAATTTTTTCTGCATTTCTTTCTCTCTCTTATTTAAATTTTCTTATCTTTCTACTTATTTTTAATCATTACTTTCCCACCCATCTCACCATTAGAATTACTTTAACAAATAAATAAGGCTCAGCCGTGGTTTATACTCTGATAAAYGCACGCTTGGCATTTGAAACACACAAGAAAATGTCAAGAAGCACGAGCTGAAAACATTATTTATCACTTTTTACAGTAGTACATGCAGCTATCAAAGCAAGGATATCATGGAGATTATAACGATGTTTTACTGTATTTATTCAGTTACGTAATGCATTCATTGTCTACTCCATCCAAAAAAAAAGATTACCTCATAGTTATCAATAGCGTAGCCTCGACTTGACCTGCGTCAGCTATTGGTTGGTCACACCCTCTTGATAAATGCTTACTTGCAAATGTTTCTCTTGCATCAAGACTGTCTGACTTGGCTGCGTCGCCTGCGATTCTTAAAGATGTAAAAACATTAGGAATTGATGCAAAACATGCAAAATGGTGACCTAAACAACAGACAGGTAAACTGAGTTTATTGATATTTATAGTTAAGGTGGTTTTGGTGACATGAATTACTTCCTACAACTAGTAATAGTCCTGAAGTTGTAGAGAGAAAGGCAGATGTGTGCCATCAGTATATCACACCGATAAAACATTAGATTATAAAAGCCAGTATCAACTGTGGATAACTTTTTCGTATAAAGATGGTTGTTGTAGCATTAAAAAGGTCGTTCAACAGTAGTCATCCGCTACGACGGAACTTGCAGACGGACAGCTCTCATGTAAGCTAATATTCATAAGTTCGGCAATTCTCTTTGTCTTTGTTCGTCATTCCAAGTTGTTTTGATTTCTTGATACTCTATGTATTCTTCATTTTAATGTAACAGCGAGCTTTACTGCGAAATAGTATGCGGCCAAGCTTCAAAGACTTGATAAAAGTATGGAATAATAGGGATAATGTACAATTCACTAGTTATTATGGCCCTGAGAGCAACCACTCTTTTGAAACAAAATTATATTTCATCAAGAAAATGAATATAATTTTCATATGTTTATTTTCAGCCGATTCGCGAAAATGAAAAGGTAACTAATAAGATATGACTGAGTCTTAAGACACAGCAATTAAATAAGGTTCTCTCTCTTATGTTTTGTACTACATATAGTATTACATGGAG